GACATTTTATCTATTTGCTCATTCCAATTTAGGTTTTTGTCGATATATAAACCGAGAAGTTTTTCACAATCTACATTCTCTATTTGTTCATCTGAAATTTTGATATCCAAACTGTTCCCAGTTGAATAAAGCCTCTGTTTTGAACCAATAATCATTGATTTACACTTTTTGGCATTTAGTTTCATACAATTTTGCGAACACCAGTTTTCAATTACATGAATATCATTTTGAAGGTTAGCAGTTAACTGAAGTACATTATTACCTTTACTATGTAATGTAGAATCATCTGCATATAAATCTATTAATGAATTTTTTATGTTCAGTGGTAAATCATTGATATATAAAATAAATAACAAAGGGCCAAGGATAGAGCCTTGTGGTACACCAGTTTTTATGCATTTAGTATTAGACATGACGTTATTGACATTAACTTGTTGACTTCGTTCAAACAAGTATGACTTAAACCAGTCTAGTGTACAGTTTGAAACATTATAATATTCAAGCTTTTTTAATAAAATAATATGATTAACCAGATCAAAAGCTTTCTTTAAATCTAAAAATATAACTCCGTTTATTTCTCCATTATCTATATTTGCTAACCATTCATCTACTAATTTAGTAAGTGCAGTTGTGCACGAATGTTTAGGTCTGAAACCTGACTGTGTAGTATTAAGAAGGTCATTACTATTTAAATATATATACAAACTATCAGCTATATGTCGTTCTATGATTTTGGAGAGACAAGGCAATACTGCTATTGGTCTATAATTATCAGGATTACAAGCCACTTTTAAAAATTGGGCAAACTCTTGCAGTTTTAAAAATACTTGGAAATTTACCACATTTGATGCTTAGATTAAATAAATATGTTAAAGCTGGTGCAATGACATCGCTGCACATACTCAAAATATTTGGTCCAACATCATCTAAACCAGTTGCTTTAGACTTGTCAAGTTTTTTTAAATACATTTTTACATCTAAAATACTCATTTCTGGTATAATGAATTTTTCACTACCCCTTTGTAACTTTGATTTTACAAATTTGTTGAGTACATCGAAACTTGGACCTTCATCATTATTACATAATTTGTTATCAACTATACCTTGAGCAATATTTGTGAAATGCACATTAAATGTATTTGCTATATCAACATTATTTTGAATTACACTATTTTTATATTTTAAATGCGTGATATTATTATGTAATTTTTTTGGATTTAGACTTTTGACATACTTCCAGATAGTTTTACTATCTTTACAATTTGAGATAGCATTTTGGAAATAATTTTTCTTTGCCTGTTCTACTAAAAATGTGACCTTATTACGCCAAATTTTATAATTATATATATCCCCAATTCTATGAAAATAATCTCTTTGGTGTCTAGCGCTATTTATATCAGAAGTCCACCACTCTGGTTGTTGAGTATTTTTCACCCTTTTAATTTTCTTAGGAGCATGCTTGTCTAGGGTGCTCAGAAATAGATTATACCAATAATTAGCTGCTTCATCAACATCTCCAATCGATTCAATGAGATGAAAAGGAGTATTTGTTAAATTTTCAATAAATTTATTTTTATCAAATTGTTTGAATGATCTATATTCTATGGACAAATGCTCCATTTTTGATATTTTTGGGTTAAGTTTTCTTGTTACGCAAACAGGATAATGATCACTGACAGCATAACTAGGCACATTTACTTCTGTAATATGGTCTACATCGGTAGTATAAATATGGTCTATAGTAGTTACACATTTATCTGTTACTCTTGTGGGTTTATGTACAATTTGTTGTAAACCATACAAATTAATACAGTCCTTCCATTTTTGATTTCCGACAACTGTATGATCTATATGTGAATAGTTTATATTGAAATCTCCTAAAAGTATAATTTCTTTATTTTCTGCTGACGCTTTTTCTATTTCTTTTTCAACTGAATCAATCCAAGATTGCAATGAACTCGGTGGACGATAAAAAATGCCTATTAAAATAGAGTTTGTGTTTGGAAAAATAATTTCAATCCATAAAGATTCAATACTACCTATTTCTAAATCGATTCTTCTCTGGTGACATACACTATTTCGTATGTACGCAATCACACCTCCGCCATCTTTAATAGCCGAGGTGGATAATAATGTCGCAAATCGTTTATTTATTGTTTTCTACATGTTTGTTTTATTTAGACATGAAAGTAAGCCTAATCTTCTGCATCTCTTCATCTTTACAATATTCGGGTCTATAAATGCGAGATATTTAGCGCAATAAGGTTTTCCGACAAATACATTTTTTTACTTGTAATCACATTCACGCGTTACAACAGGTTCTAGATGGGGGTCCTCCTTTTTCTTTTTCTTTAAATGTTAGACTATTTTCTCTATTCTGATTTCGCTCATTTTTCTCTATCTTTTTTAATTAGCACCCCATAATTCTCTATTCTATATCCCCCCTTTATTTCTATTCTTTATTTTTTTATGATGCACTTTTTGAACACTACCCAGACCTACATACAAAATTACCAAATTTCCAGCATAGAAATTTAGCCTTGTTCCTTGATAAAAGCACGAAAACTGTTTTTTTTTTTACGGTTCAACAGAGTTGAAGAACCATTTTCTTCAATCATTATTTGTTCAGTATATGCAAGAACAGCTGGCTAAGAATAAGAAAATTGCATAACATCTTGTGAGTGTTCATGGTTGCAATAAACCAGGTCAATGTAAGAACCCGTGTATAAAATGCAAATAATTTGAGAATTAATTGATAAACTCAATATCAGAAAATGAAATTGACAACATATACCTTACATACATATTTTTATTGGTCTATAATCTAATACTATAGTATAACATGATTAATTGCTACCAAATTGTTATAACATTTATGTTTTTAAAAGATCACATACACACACTCACATATTTTTAAGATCACACCCACACTCACATATTTTAAAGATCACACACACATTGCATTATTACAGTGGAGACATTTAGTAAATATTGAAAATAACAATCATTTGACTTACCTGGCGAGTGTGGGACGGAACAGACTAGAAAGAGTGTTGAAAGTCCACCCTTGACGGATACTAAGGAGGGAAAATCAGCTATTATGATGTTAAAGAGTTTCAAGGGTCAATTTTCCTTTGAAGAAAAACGTTATATATATATATAAAAACATCCTAAACTATCCAAAATCTTTCCCGAGCCACCTGTACTGGCTTTCCGTAGGCCCAAAAGCCTTAAAGACTTGCTGGTGAGAGCTGATTTATCCTCTCAAGCAGGCTCTTCGTCTGTGGGCTCTTGCAAGGGTTGCGGAAACAAACGATGTCTGACTTGCAAACAAATACTGGTTACCCAGACTTTTAACAGTCACTCCACTGGTACAGAATACACCATATTTTGCAATGTTAATTGCAAGACTACAAATGTTGTGTATCTCCTACAGTGTAAATGTGGTAAACAGTATGTTGGCGAGTCAGAACAGCCGTTTCACAAACGAATGAACGGTCATCGTAGCGACTACCAATGCAAGCCAGACCTCCCTCTCAGTCGACATTTGAGATCCCCTGGCCACACTAAGGCAGATCTCAATCGACTGACCATTACAATCATTGACCACAAGTCTGCTTGGTCTAGGGAGGATAGACTCACTCGGGAAAGATTTTGGATAAGAAAATTAACAACTTTGGCACCAAATGGGATAAATGAAAAGATGTAGTTCGACTCCATGCAGTGCTTCACATTTGGGTTGTATTACTTTTTATTACAGTCTCTGTTTCTATTTCTTTACCTTACTCATCTCTAAAATAAATCTGTTGAATATACCAATTTAAATTGCTTAATTTTTTGAGGGATGTAAAAGTACCAAGCCACGTTCAACTAGTTAACCTTAGTCAAAATTTATTATTATATTTTAACGGCCGTTTGTTTGCGATGTTTAAATACACAGACTCTGTTGCAACTACTCTACCGTTGTCAAATTTGAAATATTTACAAATTTAGATCGTTCAGTGCTGTTTATTTGGAATTCTTATTGACGCAATCGTTCTTGCAACACCATAACTGTCGTCACCGTTAAAGCTTTAGAATTGTGCTAGTTCATATCGCACATTATTATTTTTATTTAAAGCATATATTTGAACTCTCTGTTGTAATTAGTCATATAACCTATGTCGTGTTTAACACATATTTAGAATTGTGCAAGCGTCTTACCTGATGTTCGGTTTGACATTTTTATTGTATAAATTTCAAGATTTGTATAGTTTAATCTAATTAGACTGATATATGATTCATTCAACATCACAATCATATTTACTGATGAAGGATATCTGTTATCCGAAATATTTATAAATAATTACATTTATAGTTCCTTTTTTTGTTATTGGTGTTGTTGTGTACACTTTTTAGGCGTTTATATATATATATATATATATATATAAAAGAATGAAATGTATATGTATGGTTTTCCAAGGACACAAATATCAAACGAAGACCAAAGGACGTTGTTGTAGGTCACTGTATATAGGGTGCGCCGTTTGCAATTGGCCTTCAACAATAAGGAAAAAATGTATAGAAATCCATAAAAGTGTGACCAGGGAAAATGCAGCTTCAGTTTAATATTTTGGACTTTAATATAAAATTCTCAATTTTGATAATTTAGACTTTATTTTTATGTGTTTTAAAATTCATTTAATTTTATATTTTCGTTTCTATTTACAAAATCAACATGCTTTGATATGCAATTTAATTCTCAGTTTGGACATTGAGTGACATGTTTTATTCTATTAGCTAATTAATGACATTTTACCTTTTTCATTATTATATATTTTTAAATATCATAATCAGATTAGTAAATTAACTTTATTCTTCAAGTTCTAAAAATAGTTTAATCCTTGTCAGTAAACAATATTACTCAAATTAATTGTTATTTGTTATGTCTATACTTGTCAATTCAATTGTGTATAAATACTTGTTTATAATTTTTATAAGCAAGATTTGGACTCAGGACTTTACACTGAACACAGTCCATCTGTAATAAAAGTATCCATGCTGAATTATTGATTTATTCATCGCTAGTTCCAGAGTCTCAAGAGTCAGTTTTCACCAGAATTTCAGTCTCAGAAGTGTCATTGCTATTCAGAGCAATCGTTCATTCTGTGATCAGGTGCATCACACAGTTTCAGTAACAAGAGGCCATTCAGTCAGGCTTTTGTTACACAACCTCACAAGTCACCCAGTTTCCCCGGTGACAAAAGTCCCAGACTTGACAAAATGTAAAACAGTACACCTATTTATTGTTTTATGGTTAAATTCCTGGACAAAGATGTATATTAGAACCCAAGATTCTAAAACAAAATGGTTTATTAATGCACTCCGATTCATTATACAAATGCAAATCTTAATATGAAATACATCAGCAATTAAAAATTGACCAGTGTCATACTCATATTTTGAGAATCTGCGCTCACAAAAAGTATTTTCAAACTTTTTTACCTAATACAATGTACTAAGTTTTATTTCTGAAACAAAATATAAAATTTCAACAAAAGTTTCTATATGGACATCAGCATATTTAGTTAATTTGTTACACAACAGTTTATCCAATCCCTACTCATCCTTTTGAAGTGGTTTGTGTTTAATAAATTATTGAACAAACAGTTCTTTGTTACTCTGACCTTCCCGTTGATTTCTTCTGACATGACATTATATACACCATCTACTCCTCCTCGTCTAAAAGCCTGTTTTAAATGCTGAATGTTAAGTCCGGATCTAGCCATTTTTTTAGTCATACCCTCTGAGATCGGCAGCACTTTCAGCGATTCATAGTTCTTATTGGACACTTCAACATTTATCAAAGCCTGATAAGCAAAATCAATAGAAAAAATATGGGGTTGTACACGAACAAGAGAAAATCCTGGCTTTCTGAATAGTTCCTGTAAAGCCAAGACATCTCCCAATGCGTTATGTGCATCGTAAGTGAAGTTTTCGCCGAGGAAATCCTTTACCAGTTCTTCCTGCTTGAAGCTTTTTCTCTCTGACTTTCTTTCGGGGTATGCAGCTCGAAACACATGTAATGTATCTACGAATCCGTTGCACTTGGCTTTGAAATCATTAATCAAGTTTTCATTCGTCAGAGCTTTAATGATAATTTTTGAATCAAAAGATTTAACGTTATGTCCAAACAACACAGCATTTTCTGGTAACCAAGTGATTAACTCTATCAAACATTCTTTTCTGTTTTGGTGTGGTACTGGTATACCATTCCTGTAAAGTACATTCCCTATTCTTGTTAAACCTGTTACCTTTGACGCTCCTGTGGTAATAGGCTGTAGCGGCATAACGTATTGGCTAAATTTTTTCGTCCTAAATACAGCAGCGATCTGTGTAATGTCACAAGATATGCCTGTAATAATAAAGGTTTATAGATATAGGAAGATGTGGTATGAGTGCAAATGAGACAACTCTCCATCCAAGTTACAATTTATAAAAGTAAACCATTATGGGTCAAGGTACGGCCTTTTACACGGATGCACATTTATTTTTTTATACCAACGATTTCGTTTATCTACATATAAACATACTAGTAATTTGAATCAGTCGGATATATACTTTTTACTGTTATCTATTAGTCTCGAACTTGGATTTTTAACTGACTTGTCTTTTGTTTATTTGTTTTTATGCAATGAATCAATCAGATTTGTTACAGTTTGTTCTTGTGTTTTGTGTTATGATGTAACGTTAAGGGGAGGGTTGAGTTCTCACAATAATTGACTCCCCTTTTCACTCCAGTTTTCAGGTGCCTGTCCAAAGCAGAAAACTTGTTATATAGTAACCATATTTGTTCATATCTGTAGTTAAAACAAGGCCGTTGGTTTTCTCATATTACCGTACGAAGTAACTTGAAACTATTTACATCCATGGTCTGTCCCCACATAAGTTTGTAGACACTGGTCTCATTGGCAATTATACTAAATCTCATTATTTCATTAATAAAGACAACTTGCGGCAGTGAATTAAATTTAAAATAGTATTTTTTTTGGTGTATTAATCTGAAATCTATGATATAGGGTCGGAGTGTTGTTGCATTATGTGCATAAAAGGCATTAGAATAAAACTGACCTAGACCAGTGGTTTCCAAATCAAAGAAAACAGTCGCCGTATTGCCTAAGTGTAGATTAATGTCATCATTTTCGGCAGCTGGTGAAGGGATCTCTTCAATATCTGGACTCTCTTCCTCTATGCTTGAAATAGCCGACCTATAACTCTCGCCTTCTCTGATTTCCTTCGACCTAACGGATCTTACTCTGCTTCCTTTTTTGTCCCTCCGCTTTCTCTTAAATGCTGGGGTAGCAGCTTTTGCCTTTTCTCTCTTTATCTTTCTATTCAAACGTTCCCGTTGTTGAGATGTTAATTTACCAGGAGATAGGCTGTGAGTTTTGTTGACCTGTTGTTAGATAAGAATATACTAGATAATAGATAATTTATGAATGAAGCCGAGTTATCAAGTCACAGAAAACAAGAATCAGGGACTAAGGCAAGATTTTGAGTGGCGTAATTCTAGAAAATCTAATAAATACCGCCGAGCGGAGCGAGTCGAAACAAGTTGTTGGAATATTTTATTTCAAAAAAATGATATGAATCGCGAGAAACATGAAATTAAAAATATATATTATATATTTATCCTTTACTTGAACTACATTGTAATCTGTTATTAACAAAAAATTCAGATTTCAGTGTATTGTATTTTATACCGAGACTGCTAGACAATTTTGAGTAATATTCAACATTATACATTTATAATTTTTGTTATTTCATACTGAACATAATGCATACCTCAACGACATAGTTACGGCCCTCATTCTTTTGAGATATAGCTGAAGCCACTCGATATCCCAGCGATTGACTTCCACCGAAATGCTTCGACTTTGGGGCTTTTGTTGAAATGATGTAGTTCAGTGATTCGTTGCTTTGGGAACTACCAAGATTGGCCAATTTGTTAGTATTATCACTGTATTTTGAAAATACAGTTTGAATATCTTGTTGCAATTCTTCTCCTTTTAAATCCTTGCCATGTGGCAAACTTTTATGCCTGTATCCGATCGGATCTTTGATGTAACCACACCAACTGGAACACAGACTGTGGTCTCCAAATGCGTGTGGTACAATGGCATCAATGGTAAACTTTAAATTTTCAACATCCCCTTTATTTTGTTTAATTACGTACAGCATGTCCTTTACAAAATAATCTGTTACAGATGTAGATATGTTTCTTTTGTGTTTTTGGTGCAACTGTAGGAGATCTCCTGTAAAGTTTTTACGAAAATGGTTGGAATCACTGCGTTTAATGACATCATGGTCAACTTCTTGGCGCAGCCTTGCCATTGTAGTGGTGTCATCGTCCATTGTCAATGAATTTACCATGTATCCCATTTCCTCTATGTCCTTAACCTGCAGAAGAGAATGTTGAATAATAAAACTAAAAACATCAGAACATCAGTTCCTACGAATACCTGAATTTTTTTTAATTTTTCATGACCAAACAAAAAATTCTAGTAGTATACGTTAGGTTTATAGAATTTGTTTCTATCGTATCTTTCACCTTGGCGATATGAGGACAACAGATACTTTTTTAACGATTAACTACAATTAGTGCCTAAACAATCATGTGTGTTGTTTTTTTTTCGGCCGGAATGATAACAAATAAGGACTAACTGTCATACCTCCGACAATTTGATAATGGGATCGTTGATTTAAACTTTATTTCAAAGTGATATATACCCTGCGACGAAGACGACGATATCGATATCGATGATGTTACGACGATGAGTAAAAAGTATAAAATATTTAAAAAGTTCCTACCATTTCAACAGCTAATGCTGGTTCCATTGCCTTCGAGCTTCCAAAATAATTTTGTCGGCAGTCATGTTCTTCTCTGGCATCACCCTTTTCATCGATATAATTGCACTTCCGGCAATCAGTGGATTTTAATCCAAAGTGTAGACACTTTCCAGACACGTTACCAATGACTGTAGCATGTCCTGGAATGAAATTATAGCTATGTAGTTCTATGCGGGGGCGGGTTCCAACTATTTGTCCCCATTCAAATGCATTGATCGTCAAAAAAAGGGGGGTTCCAACTCCCGCAGCCCCCCTCTGGATCCGCCACTGGAAGAAATGCGTTTTGATTAATATATTTCTGATCGCTTTACTAACCTTCATAGGTTTGGGTGTCGTAAAATAAGTTGCTTACAATCATAATATTTGTTTTACAAATGCAACTGCACGGAAGAATAGTTTCAAAAAATTTGTATGAATGCGATAGTTGTAGTGTTTTATTAAAAAAAAACTATTATCAGCACTCTGATCATTATTTACTTGTGTTAGACAGTTGTGTTAGCATGGTTAGTGTCAAAGCGTGCAAGACCATGGTTAGAGCTGGGACTATTATAGTAATAATAGTATAATAGTCCTAGGTTAGAGAGAGAGACCATGTACGAGAAACAACAGACAAATTTCATCCTTTAAAACATATAGATTACCAGTTGTGCTGTTATAGCTTCTTCCACTGCCTCTCTTTTGCCAACCTCCATCAAAAGAAACATCCAGGGATTTGTTCAATTGGGTATCTTCTTCGTTCGTTCTGTCATTTCTGAAAAAAAAAATCAACAGAGGGTGTGATTTTTCGTGTCATTTGCAAAATAAACGTCAAATATAACATCGTCATGAATATGCATGAAATATTTGCCACTGGACGTTAAGCAACCAACACTCAATCAAATGTTAAATACATGCACCATACGACCTTTTGGTCACCAGTCTTACTTTAGAATTAGAATAATCTAGGTTTCTACCAAATAATAACTGTAAGATGTATTTATGTAACACACATTATTTCTGGTAGAGCTGTGATAAATATGGGGGTTCGACTCGTTGGTCTTGCGGTAATAATCTTGCTTAGAATAACGCATGTTGTAATTTCAATCCCCGGATTGTTCAAATCAATATAAAAAAGATGTGGTATGATTCCCAAGGAGACAACTCTTCACAAGAGACCAAATGACACAGAAATTAACATCTATAGGACTGGTCACAGAACGGCCTTCGAGAATGAGCAAATACACTTACCGTGTTTGAAGGCCTGATAAAAAGACACATACAATTTCCGGTACGTGTTTGTATCTGTTTTGGCATTTATTGCATAGCTATATCACTGGGGTGTTTTTTTCTTAACTTGAGAACAATAGTATAGGGCTAATTAGAACAACGGGCTATGTTATAGTTACCTGTTCATTAGATATTCCTCCTCTAGAGCCTTCTTGCAAGATGTACGTGCATATTCTTCTATTGTTTTCCCAATCTCTCTCTCCCTTGATTTGAGATTATTTGGACTGATGCATGGTACGTTTAAAGCTGTTACAAAATTAACAGTTTGAACGGGTCCCATACCTGCATCGAGATAAGCTAAAAAGAAAAGAAAAATTAAAAATCGTGATTTCTCTGAATCGTTTGTGTGTTTTATTCAATCAACTATTAGATTCTATTAGAAAATTTTAACATTTAAAAATAAACTGTATTTTTGCAGTAATTTTTGACTAATCATTTTATACTTCATTTCATAATAATTAGTTATATTCCATAAGTAGTGCTGAACTCTCAACCTCTTGAATATTTTCCCAATTGTTTTAAGTGATAAAGTATTATTTTTTTAGATAACATTTTTCAGACAAAGTTTGATGCATTTATTGTTTTAAAAGACCTTGTAACTCAGGACCTGTGTTTATGATCAATTATTGTATATATATGTATGTATATAAATTTTGTATGTTTACTTTTGTATATATGGAACAATACTTATTATCATGTATATGTATATGACTAACCCCTACTTTACTTAGTGTTTTACAGGAACTATTGTCAAGATTTCGGGTCGAAATCAGCTGAAGTAAGGGGGAGTTGTCATGGTATCATTTTGATCAGATTTTATTATTTTTGTGAAATTCTTAATTTCAGTAAAAATTAGAAAAGTTCTAAGTTTAAAGCAAATTATTTTTAGTTCAATATTTTATTGCAATTTTGGACAGACATTTTAATAGCTTTAGTTTGGTTTTCACACAAACATATTTCCTTTTAGTAAGCCTTATTTGTTGTATATAGATTACGTAAGAAGTTATCGGACAATGGTCAGAATGTGTTGACAGATATGATTTTTAAAGTGAAGCCGACATGTAATAAGATGTATTTCGGATTATTTCTATTGTTAATGTCCGGCTCAAATATGGTATAGAGTAAACATTGATAGCAAGATTACATAAGTAATTAAGATATTTTTTAGTCATACACGTCACCTATGACCCCACCTATTTTCTGTCAATTAGACTAAAGTTGTCATGGTTTTTGATTAAATGATAATTTTGATTGGACAACCTGAAACAGTCCCCAAATTCGAATCTAAAAAGTTAATTCCAAAAAGCGTCACTTTTACATGCGCTCTTTGGTAATAAAGACATAAAACTATTTCAAGTTTTATTGAATATTGTTTCAGGTAAGCAAAGTTAATTTAATTTTGTTAAATATGATTTAAAGCATTCAGTTTAAAGGTTTTCATTACCTAAAAGTAACTTCTGATAAAGTTATTAATTTGCTCATGCTTTATTCTTTTTGTAGAGAAATAGAATTTAATTTTCCTTTTTGTAAAATCTTCATGTTTAGCATTTTCATAGTTATTTTATTTAATAAGAGTTTTCATCTTTTATTATCTTATAAAGGAGTTAATTATAAAGATATTTTCTTTATGCTATAATTGTAAATAGTTGTAAATTATGTTTTTTATAAGAAAAGTCTTTGTTTCTGATCGGAAAATTGGTATACTTATTTTATCTGTTTTTATAGTTATTTATAACATCCGCCTGTTTTGTCGCACTGACAAGAAATAATAATTCACCTTAAAGTTACTATTGCATTGAAGTTATAATGTTTCCAATGGTAAGGTCTTATTATTCAAAAGCCTTTTTAGGTATGATTTCTTGATGTGCAATTTATTTGACATGTTATTGTCAGCAAACACATTGTTTGTTATTTTTCTATAAATAACACGTTATTTAGTAAACTTATTTTTGGCAAGTATACATGTAAGGCATATATTCCATAGCTAGTTCCCCACAACAAAATATTATATAATTTTCATTGCGTAACATGATTTCATGATAGAAAGTTTCTATTCTGCAATTGTTCCCCCCTTTTTATTGTGTAATGAGTTATCCCCCTTTACAGATTAAACAAGAGTTATCCCCCTTAACAGAGAAATGGTTAGATAAGTAACCTCATTGTCTGAATTGGAGTTTCATAAGAAAGATGTTTATATTATTCCTTTATTTAATTCTCAGTATTTAGAATAAAGTTTATCCAAATACCTTAAAATGCTCTACCATGTTTATATTTGAATGTTTAGAATATTTATGCAAAAGACATGAGATGTTGCTCATACATTAAGTATTGCGATATGCATTATGTTCATGTTTCAGAATATTTATGAAATATTTAGTTATGATAGGTCTATTGCATTATCTATTGGCATTATACTTGCATTATTATATTGATTTATACTTATGAATATTGTTTGTCATTTTATATTATAATTGCTATTATAATTAGACTTTTACATGCGCTCTTTGGTAATAAAGACATAAAACTATATCAAGTTTTATTGAATATTGTTTCAGGCCTTGGCTCCAGACATCATAAGTCGTCAAGGTGTAGACCCCGTTGGTACAAGACCAATTCCAAGCATACTACCCAGAAACCCAATTCTGACAGTTATATGAAACTAAAAGAAGCACGACAAAACACAAGATATCATTTAAACCGTCATTTTTTATGTCAAAATATGCCGTATCCTTCTGTGTGTGAATTGACTTCACTATGCACTAGGTTTGATCATAGTTAACCATATGGGGTGAGAGCGAAACTCGAATCCCTATATGGAAATAACTGACCCCCTGTATATCGTATTAGGTCACTAGCACACTATGTAACGAATTTATCTTACCGACTATCTTAACATACTTCCATTGGTCTATACAAAAACAAATGCCAACAATAACAACTTGTTAGATTTAAATGTGTTTTATTACAGATCAAATTTATTCTATCGTTGTGTGTTAATTTGTGTTACTACGTTTTTTCATTGAGTTAAGCCTTCCAATTGATATTTTATAGTGTGTCTTTCTATGTTGTGATGTTTTACTATTGTTTCAGAAAAGGGAGAAGGTTTGGTACCATTAAAACGTTTAATCCCGCTGCAATTGTTTGCACCTGTCCTAAGTCAGGAATATGATGTTCAGTGGTTGTCGTCTGTTTATGTGGTTCATTAGTGTTTCTCGTTTCTCGTTTTTATATAGATTAGACCGTTGGTTTTCCCGTTTGAAACGTTTTACACTAGTAATTTTTGGGGCCCTATATAGCTTGCTGTTCGGTGTGAACCAAGGCTCCGTGTTGAAGGCCGTACCTTGAACTATAATGGTTTACTTTTATAAATTGTTACTTGGATGGAGATCGAGTTGTCTCATTGGCACTCTTACCACATCTTCCTATAATATCTATTTATTAATTTATTTCAATCGTTCACCATCATGATTGCATTGTCTGTTGAGACCTTTAAAGATTTTTCCTCAACACCGTGTTGTTTTTATAAAGGGTCGTAACACCACTACTAACCGTGTATTGAAATAAGCCCCGCCTCCCTACTAACCTAATATGGAATATACACGGTCTCCACGTGGTTACTTTTGACCAATCATATTCTTAGAAATGTATAGGAGGTAAGATAAAAGTTTATATTTGTCTCACATATTTTATGCATACAGTATTTCAGACTATATATGATGAAGGCATAATCTTTCAATAAGTTTAATTCAGGTCTGGAGCTGGCATGTCAGTATTTACTGCTAGAAGTCCTTTGTTAATTTATGTATCATTGTCATTTTGTTTAGTTTCTTTTGTTACCTATTCTGACATCGGACTCGGACTTCTTTTGAACTGAGTTTTTCTGTGCGTATTGTTGTGTGCTTGTTTTTTTTCTACATTGGCTAGAGGTATGGGGGAGGGGGTGTGTTCTCAAGACACATGTTTAACCCCACCGCATTTTAGTGCCTGTCCCAAGTCAGGAGCCCCTTGCCTTTGTAAGTCTTGTATTATTTTTAATCATTTAGTTTCTTGTGTTTATTTCAGAGTTTAGTATGACGTCCATTATCACTGAACTAGTACTAGTATACATTTTTGTTTAGGGGCCACCTGAAGCACACTTCCGGGTGCGGGAGTTGATCGCTGCATTGAAGACCCATTGGTGGCCTTCGGCTGTTGTCTGCTCTTTGGTCGGGTTGTTGTCTCTTTGACACACTCCCCATTTTCATTCTCAATTTTATAATATCGACGCAGCTAGTTATTACTGTGTTAAGTACTACAAGGTTATTCCTGATGTTATGCTTTAAAATTGGTGTAAAGTGTAAAGCTATGAATGTGTAAAGTGTAATGCTATATATAAACCTAAGGGTAATCAGGGACTTTCTATTCTAACTAGTATCGAAAGTCCCTGGTGTAATGCTATAAGAATGTACTTAGTGTGATGCTATACAAATCGAAAGTAATCGATGTTCTCCATGTGAATTTGATGCTTTTCATGCGAATGCACTGCGTGTGATGTTATAAAAATTCACTCAGTGTGATGCCACACGAAAGTTCCCAGTGATGGGATATACGAATGAACTCAGTGTGATTCTATAAAATATGACCAGTTTAGTATTAAATGGATGTACCAAGTGAGGTGCTACACTATGTACACGAATCCAATGTGAGGCTTAAACCTTTACGAATGTACCTATAGTGTAGTGCTATAAGAATGTACCTAGTGTAGTGCTATAAGAATGTACCTAGTGTAGTGCTATAAGAATGTACCTAGTGTAGTGCTATAAGAATGTACCTAGTGTAGTGCTATAAGAATGTACCTAGTGTAGTGCTATAAGAATGTACCTAGTGTAGTGCTATAAGAATGTACCTAGTGTAGTGCTATAAGAATGTACCTAGTGTAATGCATATATACATGTAGATACTGTTCATACTGTAATGCTATACGCATGTACCTAGTGTTGTGCCATAAGAAGTGAACATGCATATAAATTATAATGCAAATGAATCACTCTGAATACTGAATTCAGACTGAATATTTAGTGTAATGCGATAACATTACTTATCATTTGTGTACGTTAAAAATTACCATAGGAATATAATTGTGTAAATTTGGTAGTAGCTAGTCTTGCAGAATTTATAAAAATAAGATTTTTTTTTAGATTTTTTGTTTAGGTCTTTAAAAGATACGAAAATGTAAGAATCTTATTTTATTTCTCACTGCTTTACTTCTCACTATTTCGAATGGCCAACTCTCCATAACCCGGAAAGGGTAAACATTGCGGTAGACGTGTCAGATTACTTTTTTTTCTTCTAAGTAATCATC